TGTCTCTCTCTCTCTCTCTCTCTCTCTCTCTCTCTCTCTCTCTCTCTATGTGTGTGTGGTGCTTTTGCATTTCTTGCTTTGATATGCCGGTATTTTGTCCCTAACCACGGTCCTGTAGCGGCATTGTAGCCTTATTCAGAAAAAGAAAAACACGCCTGCATGCTGCAGGTAGGGTAGCCCGCGGAATCAGAAGAAGGGAGCAGGGGCTGCAGGGTTAGGAAGGGGAGTTCACTTACCCGGTCAGCTTGTAGATTTCTACTGCGGTGTACATGGCCCGGCCTTAGTATTACGTGGGTCACCTATCACTCCATGAGTCCAGATAGAACCTCGACTCTTTTTTTTCCTCTTTTGTTGCAGTCTTGCAGACTTAAAAAAAAATAAAAAAATAAAAAAAATGCAGAAGCATCGGTGAGAGGCCGACTATTGTTGAAGGTGATAAGAACACTCTCCAGGAGTGGGCTCGCCCAAAACAATTTCGTGATGGCTCCTTATTATTGGTCGGGAGGCTGACGGGAGCTGCACCTGCTGGAAACGGGTCCTCCGTCCCTTACCCAAATGGAAGAGGCTGTCTTACATCAGGAGCCTTACTTCCGTCCAAGGACCAAAATCTGGATATAAGTCTTCGTCCTCGCTGGTTTGGCTGGCGACCTTGGTTGAATTGGGTTCCACGGTGGCCACCACCACCTCTCCTCCTTCCCCTTTTTTACTGTTTCGGCCGTCGTCTGGTTTGGTAGAATCATAGAATGAAGCTCATCCTTTCCGCTCTGCCGGCTCTGTCGGCTCTGCCGGCGCGCCTCACTGGTTCCGATCTCGACCAAGTTGGACCAACTTCCTTCCGGCTCTGAAACCAGGTTCCTTCTCGGAGTTAACTAACTTATTAAACCACCAGTACTTCCTACAGTTAACGCTACGCAATTTTAGGAAACGTACGGGCCACTACAGGAGCGCCCAAATTCATCCAACTAGAAACGTTTCTGCTCTATTTTTTTTCCGCGGCCGATAGCTGGGCCAAGTACTGGTGGTTTAAGTTATTAGGTGAGACTTCTCCTCTATTTTTCCTTACAGCGACGCTTCGTCTGCTCTGACGGCAGAGGGACGGGTATACTAGACACGACCACTGTGCTTGCCTAATTTTTCAACTGGCGTGCTTAAATCAATACCTCCCCTGAGAGACGTATCGCTAAGCAGGAAACGACACCCTGTACAGTGCCCCCTTCCCCTCCCCCCCGCCTCTCTCTCTCTCTCTCTCTCTCTCTCTCTCTCTCTCTCTCTCTCTCTGTGTGTGTGTGTGTGTGTGTGTGTGTGCTTGTCCGACGGGGGCTCGCTATGTACGTAGTACGATTGCACTGCGAGAAAATTTGCGTGCGAGGCTGCGCGTGCTCTTGCACGAGCACGTCGAGACGGTCGAGCAGTACTCTGGAAGGGGTAACTGGACTCTCTCTCTCTCTGTGTCTCTGTGTGTGTGTGTGTGTGTGTGTGTGGATGTGTGTGCTTGTCTGAAGGGGCCTCGGTATGTACGACATACGAGTGCACTCCGAGGAAGTTGCATGCGACTCGAGCGTGCGCTTGCGAAGAGGAAGAAACCTGGCGAGGCTTCTAGAGTGGAAGTAAGGGAAGGACACGCACCATGAAGGCGACGAATATGTGATACCGAGTTTATCGGCCGGCTACCATAGATACGGGCGCATCACAAGGGAGACGAAGACGACGGGAAGTAATCGAGGCAGCTCGAACAGGTTAAACATACAGAACGGAGCGAGATCCGTGAGTGCACGCAGATGCAGTTTGATGCCATCCCTACAGTAGAGCGAGGAGGAAGAAGAGGGGAAGCGTAGCACGCCAGGCAGGGAGAGATCGTCCAGGCAGAAGAAATCGTGGAAGACCATGCGGGGGGGGGGAGAGACGGGGGAGCTAGAAGCCCCATGCTCCCGGGAAAAGCATTTGGGAAGGGAGAGAGGAAAGTTGCCCGTAGGGCTCGGCGAGAAGCAATGACGAACTTGGGGGGGGCACTGCCAGGGCGAATGCGAATGCTGAGACCAGGGCGGTGGGAGCCTCCACGTCTGAAGATGGACCTCTCCAGTCGTCGACTCGCAGCGATGCTGATGTGTTTTTTTCTGCAGCTGGCCTCTTTGCAGCTCAGTGTGTCCCAAGGCCCCACCACCGGCATGTCCTCCGCAGAGACATCGGCCCCCATGCAGCGTGGCTCATCCACATCGGCCAATTCTCCTGCGATCACCATCAAGAGCGGCTTGTGTAGCGAAAAGCACCGGTTAGCTGAGTTCGAGCTCTGCATGGACCTGGGCGGAGGACGCTTTTTTCATTGGAACTCTCCAGACGCTGAGAGTGGTTTGATTCCAATGGCTTTCAGAGTGCCGCAGTTCTGCGATTGGATGGCAGTGGGCTGGTCGCCGGATGGCTCCATGATGGGAGACTGTGTACTTTGGTCAGCCGGCGACGGCGTTGTGTCTAGTCGCTATATTGCTTCTCGCAGAGTCGAGGGGATACTTCCGACGAACAGCTTCGCCGTTCTAGACGCGTCATTCCATGCGTCCTCGGTCGGGGGTTCGATCCTGCGGTTTGCGCGCAATCTTAGTCGCGGCGATGGTAGCGTGAAGCTGAGACTTCCAGGCATCAACATAGTGATCTGGGCGCACTCTGAGGCTGGTGTCGCCAACCTGTCGACATTGACGTACCACGGGGACAACCGTGGGTCCTTCGCCCTGGACTACGGGCAGGGGGCGACCGCGCTCGAGGAGGAGGACGCGCAGCTGGCGCCGGAAACGGCGCCCGCTCTGTCGCCTGCAGCAGCTGGTAGTCAATTAGCACCCAGCGACGAGGAGTCAGGTGCTCCCGCTTCTGAAGGGGTACCTATGGAGTCAACGCTCTCCCCGACGACCATGGCGCGGGAACCGGCGGCCGCTCTGTCGCTTGGGGCAACTGCTGGTAGTGTTCCGCAGCCCAGCGAATCGGGCACTGCGGGCGCGTCTGCAGGGGTACCTACCGATAGTACGCTGGCGGAGGGGTCCTTTCATCCACCAGTACCGGCCGAAGAGAACGCTTCTTCTATCGCCTCTTCCTCGGTCGAGTCGTCGATATCCCCCCTCTCGCTTCCTTCCGAAATGATAGGAAAGAATGACAAGGACCAAGCAGCCATGACGTCCGAGACCCCCCCAACAAGCCTAGTAGAAGGGAACTCGTCTTTCTTGTTGGGGAACCGCAGCGCGTGCGCTCCACCCTCTCGTGCGTCAACGCTGCCCGCTTTCTCTTGCATGTCCCAGCTCGGACCCGGTGTGAGGTTCCACTGGGCCAGCGCCTCCGAAACATCAGCCGCCGCTGTCCCTAATTCCAGCGAGGTCGTCAGAATGGCCCTCCAGGTTCAGAAACACGTCTACTGGTTGTCCATCGGCTGGTCCCCAAACGGTCACATGTCGGGCGACTGCATCATCTACTTCTCCAACAAGAATGCCACGGAAGCTTACATGATCACAGGGAAGAGCGCCAGCGCGCTGCGGCCCTGCAGCACGTTCGACGCGGTGGGCTGGTCCGTCAACACTTCGGATTCGGAAACGACGTTGACGTTCGGACGCAGGGCGACTGACGGTCAAGTGAAAGTGTTGCCAGCAGGTACCAATCACATGATATGGGCACATTCGTCAAGCGCTTCCTTCACATTTCATGGGCCTAACGCCGGAAGCTTCGACGTCGACTTCGCCAGCGGCGTGGTCAGGGCTGTGGCCCTCATCAGTACCCACCTCCTAGTCCCTACGAACCTGTACGTCCTTCACGCATGGTTGATGTGGCTGTCCTTTGGCGTCCTCTTCCCCTGTGGGGTCTTCGTTGCTCGCTATGCGAAGAGGTGGAATCCCGGGTGGTTCGATATGCATGTGGCGTGCCAGGGGATCGGCGTGGTCGTCTCGGCCGTCCCGGCAATCATCGCCCTCTCGGAGTTCGATGGGCTGGACGGCCTGCATGGCAGGCTTGGACTGGCGATCCTGATCATGGTTTGGTGCCAAGCGGTGTTGGCCCTGGCTCGCCCGAGTAAGACTGCGCGGACACGACTTCCCTGGTATTTCGTACATTGGCTCTTTGGCACGGGAGCGTTGTTTCTGGGGTTGCTTAACGTGTACCTGGGGTTGGACGTGCTGCCGTCAAAGCTGCCAGCGTTTGGGCGATCGCCAGCCTGGAAGATCGCCTTCTCTGTCCAGGTGGCTATCATTGTGTTTCTGTACGTGCTTTTAAACGATTGGCGCTACATAAGCTCCCAGAGGGCAGGATTACCACCACCACCAGCACCCTCTCCAGCTTCTCCTCCTCATCCTACCATTCCTGTTCACTCTGCCACCTCCCCCTCCGCCTCCTCCTCCTCCTCCTCCTCTTCTACCAAGCCCCAACTCCAGCGGTTGTCAAATTCTCGAAGGCCAATGGAACATCCTTAATTGCAGTGAAGAAAGCTCCTGAACTTCCGTCCCTTACGGACCATCTGCCCTCCACAGCAAGCTCAACGTTACGCCAAGTGGAATCGCCTATCACTGCTATCAGAGATTCTTCTTAGGGGCCCCGAGCACGATGCTTCCGGTTTCTCTCTCTCTCTCTCTCTCTCTCTCTCTCTCTCTCTCTCTCTCTCTCTCTCTCTCTCTCTCTCTCTCTCTCTCTCTCTCAGAGTGTGTATTCTTTCGGATGTGTGCATGCACGGGCCCGCGCGCCACGACGACCTTTGTTGGTAAAAATAGGCCCAAAGAAACCCGAGTTCGCCATCGTCTTGTAGCTCCGGTGGCCCATTTTCCTTTCTTCCTCCTGCAGGAGGATGCCCTTAATAAGTTAATAGTACTTTTAATAGTTAGATCATCCCCGACGATAAGAAACAATATTTGACGACAGCTCCAATCATCGACAACCGACTGGATCGGCTTCGATACGCCCACGTGTCCGTCATACAAGTGGCAACAGAGATAGGAATCAGTCTGGTAGAGCGTACGCACACGTGGGAACGAACGGCAACCTCTTTCTGACGCATGTCCAGAAAGGACATTATCGGTCAAAATTAGAAAAAAACTCGGAGTCGGGGTAGACATCGGGCAATCCGTAGAAATCTTCCAGATCACATGGAGCCTGGCCGCAAAATGGCCTGCCACGTGTAATCTACCGACTCGATACATGTACTTCCTCAATTCCCCCCCCCCCCCCCCCCCCCCCCTTCTTCGGAAAAAGGTCTTCCATTCCCCTTTCCCCTTGTAGATCTGTCCTTATCCCTCTTCGAAATTTGGATCAGTAATAACCTGGTGCTAACCCAATGCTAGCATGTCGTTCGATACGTTCCGATACCACTCCAGCAGCTTGTAATCACTCCATGCAGTCGACCGAGTACCTGATCTGGTTTGCAATTGCCCTCGAGTGGTGGTGGCATCTTTGTCCAGGTACCACGGAGATGAGCGCCCTTCGCCGGGCCTTCGTAGAACTGACTGACTAACAACTATCAGTAGTAGTCAGTCACTGCACCACCTCGCAAGTCCCCCTCCTCTCTCATTCCTTCTTGCCTCCGACACCTTGCAAGTCTGCATCAGCTGGTCCAGATAGTACTTGAAGTTGCCGTCTCGCAAACCGAGCCGCGAGCCTGCTTCTGCGCACGACAGTGGAGCCACAAAAGGCGAGCCGTTGTAGTCTGGATGTCTCCATCCGCACCCGCACCGCTATCGCGGAAACCAAGATAGCGCAACCAAAGAATTCTCTGCCGGTGGGAAAGGGCCCTGATTCCTGAAGATATTTGACATGGAGCAGCGCCCACGGTTGGTGCCTGTTTGGCCGGTCCGGGCTTGCCCGTTTCTACCTCCTACAGTTGGATGTGGTTGAAACTTGGGAACCTCATTCAGTTGGACTTGACGTGGCATTCGACTAGATGTGACATTGCATTCTGTTTTCTTCTAGCGTGGATCTTCAGCATCAATGGCTTCTCAAGTACACTAAGATCATCATCCGGTCTTAGTTTCCTTCCACGACATCTACGGCAAGCAGTTTATTAAGCTTGGGACAGGGGACTCACCCTGGATGGAGGTGGACTTCGCTGGTCCTGCTGGTCCCACCTCCGGAGCCTGGAAGAGTACAAGTCACCGGTACTGGACCAGTAGCGCCAGGCTGTGAACTCTCTCGTGCTGAGCCTTCAGGTGCTCGACCAGCCGCAAGCGGACATCGCGTATGTGAACCTGCGTCCACAGACTCCACACACACACATTAAGTTGGTCAGCCGGTACCACAGAGGGAGTCGTTTGCTCCTCGCCAATTTTGGCGGGGGGCTTCTCCATCCGGTTGCAGCCTTTGGGTCAGTCGCTGCTAGCCATAGCCGTCGTCGTCAGAAGCTGGTCATCTGTGTTCAGTCAGCGCTCCTGCGGTCAGTCCTTACCCCACCGGTTGTAGGTCCGTCATCTTTCGGTGCAATCTGCTGGAAATTAGCTAAGCCGGTCATCGATCAATCAGCCATCTCTGGTCAGTTTTTCGTTGTGGTCTCTCGTGTCTTAGCTTTTCAGCCTTCGGTAAGACTTCATCTTCAGCCAGCCGCCGCAGCCGGGTGTTTGAGAGTGGCACCCGATCGCCCAGACCTTCCTTCCTCTCATCGCTTCCTTATCTGCGGAAAACTTGACTACATTATCATCTTGGCTCATCCCATCTTTCTCCACACCCTCGACTACCTCTTCCCCGACCTTTCTCTTTTCGAACTCTGTTACAGTTCTCTGTTCAGGGCTGCAGGCGGTACTTGAAGACAGAACCTACAGTAGTTGAAGTTGGATCGAAGTCGAGTTTCGCTGCACAACAATCTGTGGTCTCATTTGATTGACTGTCTCAACCATACCAGCAAACACATGGTTAGAAGTAAATCCAACTAATTATTCATAGGATCGGCCCCTTTCTACGTTCTCCCAGTTGGCAGTCAATCTCTTGATTGCATTATTATAATAATGGAGCTTTAAATTTTGTATGATAATGCAACCTTTACTTGCTGTTGCTCTTTCGTCCAGAGTTCTGCCGAGTTGCTTTAGTCTTCTGGATTTCTCTAGCTCAGGTTGCCACTTCCATAGTTAGCCACAACTATCTTTTTCTCGAAATGATTTTCTCCTGGTTATTTTCCCTCTACTACTGCTCATTTCTGCACTTTACCTCCCGTTATAAAAAAAAAAAAAAAAAAAAAGAGAAAGGGGGATTCCCGGTTCCGAACAGAAAAGGCGTTTAAGGCGGTAAAGTAAAGAAGGGCCGTTGATGATCAAACAGTAAGGACAATCCAGATGATTCATTCAGCATCTTTCTGTGACACAATTTGTCCCCATCCTCATGATTTTCTTCCCTCCCGTGTGAAGATGTCATCATTACCTACAGGCTACAGCTCAGGTCGCCTGCGCCTGGATAAACGAACTCATCACTTCAACCTTCCTCCCCTCTGTTTCAGTCACTTCAACCTATTCATGGCCATGATGACGTCAGCATCTGGGAGCGCAATTAGCTGCCCCTTCATTAATGACCTCATCACATCAACCATCTTCGTTTCCTTGGAGTCCAGTTTCCTTGACCAGGATGCCGCCGAGGAGGAGGGATGAACTTGAAGCCGGCCCTTCTAGAAAGAGGCGCCCCCATAGGGCCATAGGTCATCCCATTTCGCTTCAGATTCGGATTCACCTTCTTCACAAAAAAGCCTGTTCCTATTCACCAGCTCCTTCTCGTCCCTCAGCTCAATCCCCTTCCTCCACACCCTCCACCTCCTCCACCGCGAACTGCACCAACTACCCCAAGACCCCGAGCACCAGAAGAAACCCAGAGTCTTCAGACCTCTGGATTACTTCTTTGAAGTTCTTTCTACTCTCCATCCTCTTCCTGTCCATCTGCGTTATCTTCCTGTGAGACCTTCTCTGCCCGTTATTCCACTTCCCCCTTAATTGCTCCTACACATGAGACCTTCTGATGAACGGACTGACAAAAATGATTTACTGATCAAGTTTGGTGTTCTCTCTCTGTTCAAACTCTAATTAGCTTAATAGTCAAATAATGGGAATCTATGTTTGAAGAACAGGCAGCGTTTGTTGACTTCAAATTATCCTGACTCTTCCCCTTTTCTGCCTCAGGGATTCGTTTTAATTCACAAGAAAAAAAAAAAAAAAAAAAAGGGCGAAGGGAGAATCGCCGAGTCAACCGACAGGTTGAACATGTGAGCAAGAATGAATCACGGTTTTTTCGAAACTTTGGACCAAACGACTGCTGCGAATTTAATTGCCGCATAGGGCCATAGGCCATTTTGAATTTCATCACCAAATACTTTCCTTGTCATGATCAGACTTGGGATTTCTTCCCTGTAGATCCTTTGCCCTTGTTGTTCTCTTCTTTTGTCCCAAACATGAAATCAACCCTGTGTTTTGACAGTTCTCATTACTTCGGTTGATCTCTAAGCTAAGTAACTACTAATGACACCTAGTTTTGGCTGCACCTGAAAGATGATCCCGTTTTGCTGATTAAACAAACAAAAAAAAAAGGGGTGGGGGGAGACGAGGTGGATGTATACAGTAGCGAAGGACAAAGGAAGGGAGTCAGGAGCAATAGTTTAAAAGAATCACTCGACACATGCAGCCTGTAAAAAAAAAAAAAAAAAAAAAAAAAAAAAACCACGGGGTGGGGAATGAATTACGACTACTGCTTTTACATCTCGTCTACTTCCTTACAGTTGCCCAACCCAACCCGCAACTATTGTTTCCTAGCCAAACCCATCGCCACTTGTAAAGTGGAAATAAAATAACCAAGAAACTGCAGTTGTTCTCTTGAGCATTGCTGATCTTATCCCTTTTTCCTCACAACCCTTGGCATCACCCCATGTGGCGATCTGCCATTCTCATGCCTTATCAATGGCCTGCTACGTGGTGTACTTCCATAATGAGTCACGCCTGCTGGTTTGGGGCAATGTGCCACGTGGCGGCCTCAAGAGTCCATTGCATCCGCCGAAAACCCCACTATTATGCCACGTGGCGCCGGATAGGATGAGCAGAATCAAATGAATCTACCGCTGCCACACTCGTTTTTCTGTCGCGCGCCCCCGCGCGCGCGCGCGTGTGTGTGTGTGTGTGTGTGTGTGTGTGTGTGTGTGTGTGTGTGCCGGGGGGTGCGGGGCGGCCGCCAATCAATCAATCAATAAATTAATCAATCAATCAAGCAAGCAATCAAGGTTTTCTTTTTTCCCCCAACCCATCCCCTCCCGAAATTCGTTTTTTTTTCCCCTTTTGTGAGGGGGTGGGGTTGGGGTTGCGCAACCCTAATCAGGGCCCAAACCCTCCCCCCCCCTCCTCCCCACTGGCCGCCACGTGGCCGCAAAGTCGGCCGCACGGCCGTGGCCTTGGCCGCGCATGGCCACCTCTGGGGGGGATTCGTAGGCGGCATGCATAATCATTTCAACAAAAGATTGCCAAACATTGGGTAATAAATGACCTCCATTCATGGTGGCAAAATGAAATAAAAGAAAACTAAACCAATATTGAGTAGCAT